TAATGTGGAATCCTATATTTTATTTGTTATTGGTAGTTCCTGAACAGTTCAATAAACACAAAATCTAACTTTTAAAACAACATAATCACTGAAGGCATATCAATTTAAATAAATAACATTTAAAACTTCAAAAATAAAACATGGGTTACTTAGAACCTAACGGCAATCAATTTTGAAGGAGCTTTTATTACTACCCAGGCATGGTAACCGATAAGAACAGAGGCGTGTGTGTGTGAGTGTGTGTTGCTGCTAAGTTAAGCGTGCCTAATGAGGTGAATGAGGAGAACGCTGAAAGAACACGGCGCTGAGAAGGGAAATCTGTGTAATTGTTTGAAATTAGCCTTCTGACATTGACAATAAGGAGCTTCTGGAGGGGCCTCCTTGTACCATGATAATGCTGTGTGACACGGTCGGGGCCCGGGTGGGAGGTCCAAATACCACACGGCCGATTAGAGGCCCCGACATGAAACAGACTAAGTCGAAGGATCCACCTCACAGGTTAAATCTCAGGGCATGGGAGAGGAACATCGAACCGTCAGGTTCTGATGATCCTTCCTTCTGTGCCAAGAAAAGGAGGGGAGAGGGAATTCAGACTAGCTCCAACATGCCCCCGCTAAAAAAGCACCACGGTTTTAGTGGCCGAGATGTGCAGTCACATGTTTCATTGGACAAAATGCTTCTGTAACATCTGTCACAGGTAGTGACAGGCTGGCTCATTGCTTGCTAATCACTTTAGTCCCTAAAGCTGCTTCAAAACACCTACTTTTCAACTTCACCTCTCACTGACAGCAAGAAACAGCCTCCTTATGTCCTCGCTCATCTTTTAAAACCTGCCAATAAATCATGTGGCGTCTCCAACAAATCGCCAGAGAAGATAAACACTGCTGATGACCGGCCGTGACTCTTCAAAAGGGTGGGATTATGTTCGCTTGGAAGGGAAGCCTAAACTTCTTCCATCTCTCAAGTGAATAGGCTGAGTGGAGATTCATTATCAACAACTGAATCTAAGGATATCAGGGGAACATTTGACAGCTTGTTTTGGTCAGTGATTAGGCATTATTTGATTGATTTCAGATAAAGTTTGGGTCCATTCATGAAGAAAACTCCTCACATGTGAAGTTAATCAATATTCTAGTGAGCATCTTCAGCTCAAACCAGACTACTTTATAGATAAATCCCTGCGCTGATTAGTCTCTACTAGCTCTGGTGAATAGTAATATTACATATGAGAACTGCAGGATATATATACCAAAGTACGAAAGTAAGGATTGCAACAGCACAAAAAGAGTGTCAGAGAAACTCCTGGCCTGCCCTGATGTGATAAATCTATGTGTGTAAAGTGAGAAGAGGTATGGAATGCGTTCCAGCCTCTATAGAGAGAAATCACCAAAACACTGACATTTCTCCTCTGCAAACACACTGCAACAGATCTCCTTGTTTCGTTGCCTTCTTAAAAGACAAATATTTATCTGAGATACTTTTTGCATTTAATTAAAGTCATGATAAAGTGCATCTCTACAGGCTTTCTGCCACCGTTTCTTGGGTTACCACAGGATAAGTCTCTTTGTCCAGTTCATGCTCACCCCGTAAAAGCAGACGTCCAAACAAGTTATGGTCTCTGGCTGTTGTGTTGCAGTTCCAGCGGTGGTTACGGAACTGGTACTGGCACTCAGAGATCCAATCCTTCATCCCGGCCCCGATGGCCTGCATCACTTTGGGGTGCTGGCGGCAGAGTTGGCGCTGTTTGTTCACCAGGCCAGGGATGTTGTCGCACATCACCTGGGAGCCCAGAGTGCCCATGTACCTGCATGGTGGGGAAGGGGTGACAGCAGTAAGTTATACATTATAATTGTGTTACAGTTCTTTAATTGATTGATTGACTTTATTGATCTCACAGTGGAGAAATGTACCTGTTACATCAGCTCAATAGTCAAAAAGAAGGTGCATGGGGGTATATGCAGTGCATCTACATTATATATATAAAAAGTCTCTTACTTTACAGGATCATTATACAGGGTTATTGCACAGGGTTTTAGATTGGTATATATAGATGGGTATTTATATATATAGTTAATGCACTGGGTATCGAATATAAAAACAAGTTATTGCACAGGGTATTAAATAATAATTACACATTATACATTGCACAATTATTGCCAAATTGTAGAGTGTGGTGTTAGCAGGGGTGAATGACCTGCGGAAGAACTCCTTTTTTCAAACAGGGTGTAAAAGTCTTTCACTAAGGAGATGCTCAGCTCCTCTACAGTCTGGTGCAGGGGATGAGCAGTGTTTATTTTTGGAAACAAGACAAATGTCTTTTAAAAGGGCAAATATTAGAACATTTTAACTAAGTATTGATTTATAAAAGTCAAATGGCAGAGGACACCTAATGCATTCCTGAAAAGTATCTATTAAATCTTCAGATGGATAACACTCGGCAACGTCTTAATTGTCAGGTGTTGGGCACCAGAACTAACCTAGCTTCAGTTTTACATGAAAAGGAACATTGTTTCATTAGTTTATTAATTTATGACTATTAAATATCATTGCTACATTTAAAAACAAGATTTGCTTTGGTTAAATGTAATGTAGCTGTTTTTATATGAAAAAGAACAGATGGGATTTTGGAACAGAAAGCAAAAATAAATGTTGATTTTTAATAGGATCAAGTGACTGAAAAACAAAACTTAAATCTATGACAATGCAAAAAAAAAAAAAAAAAAAAAAAAAAAAAAAACCATGTTAGAAGTTTTTCAATCAGGGCAAATACTTTAATTTAATTAATACTTTAATTTAATTATATTAATCATATATATTTTATGAGTTTATTTAGATTACTGCCCAATAGTAATTATAATCATGAATATATGTTTCTTAACATGAAGCACTTCAGTAAACCAATAAATACATACAAATAAAGAGCAGTAATACTCACCACCAGGACGCATCGACCTTGGCAGAGAGCCAGCAGGTTGCTACAGACAGATACAAACATATTCCACTTGGCAAAAAGTTCATATTAAGCAGAATTTGGTTCCTTATGGATCTGCATGAAGCATTTCCAAGGATGAAAGCAACATTTGATAATATCTGGAAAAAGTCGGACACCAGAGAATCAAGGAATCAGTTCTGGTCAAACAGAAGGGAGAACTTTGGTGATCTGCGCGTAAAAACCATGCGTATCTGCCGGGTGCCTTATGGAGAGAGAGAGTCTTATAGCCCCACAGAGATCCTCATATAGGGGACAGGCAGGTGATGAGCTATCAGGTTTAAATAACTTTACGCGAGGGGTGGGCAGGCTGCCGTTTCAGGAATGAAGGGAAGAAATGAGATGTCTGAGAGAATCTGTTCAGGCTGGTTTGACACCAGACGGGTTTGGCTCTGATCCAGGCGCGCAGCTCCAACCAGTCCATGCGTCCTCAGCCAAACGGCGTTTGGAGGATTTTCATCCTACGCGGTTCTTCCTGAGAACCACATTAAACTGAGCGGACTTTTTTAAAATGACAAAATAACCCGATGATTTCTGTGTTCGGGTATTTCTGAGATGACGCACAGGTGTAACATTCTCCATTCCCAAAGAATGACGCGCCATTTATTTCAGGCAGCTGAGAATCACGGTAACTATTTGTTTTAAACTGAATTGTCCCACAGCAGCGCCTGAAGGCGGCGTGTCAATCCCGATCGGATTATTTATGGACGTCCTTTTGAAGTCCACCGAGGAAATCTGTAGCCGGTGTCACGCGGGATTTCCTCCAACTTTGATCCGGTCCGTGTGTGTGTGTGTGGACATCCTGGATCCCACACCAGGGCAGATTAATGGGGAACTTGGATTTCTCCCATGATCCCCGTGGATGAGGATATAAAAACATAAAACTTTGATAACCTTTATTGATCCACCATGTTTTTGTAGTAATTACTTTCATATATATATATATATAAAAAAAACATACCAAAGTTATTGTTCAATATAAATGTTTAATAAAGCTGATATCATCTTTAAATAAAAACAGTAAGCAGTTTACATGGAATTATTTCCACCAAAAACCAATTTGACCCATCAGATCCCTCACATAACTGATAATACTCTTTAAGGGCAGATTTTTTTTTTTTGCAAACTATAATTCATTATTTGGTCAGAAATTAAAATAAAACAAAAAAAATTCTGATTTTAATTCTTACTTGATAAATGCCAGAAAACTACCAACTTTTTCCCCCTCCCCAGACCATTAACCATAATTATCAAGATGAACTCACTATAATGTACTTTCAAGTTCAAGAACCAAAAAAGTAAACGACCTAAAGCAGGGGTTCCTAAATATATCACCAAAAATAATGCGACACAGAGGAAAACCCAAAAATACAAGTAATTAATTTGCTTTATATTTATATATATAAATTTTATTTTGTATATCTTAAATTTGAACAACCACAATCATATTTAAAATATTTTATGTTTATATGTTCTGCATTTTACCATTTAATTGTATGTTTGTTTGAATCATCAAATATGAATAAATATTAAATGTATTCTTTTCAAACGTTATTTTAAGGGACATTTTTTATATTTTAATTTTGAACCTTCATATATATTGGGCATCACTTCAATGATTATGAAAACCATCTCATGATCCTCCCAGTGCGTCTTGCGACTCCCCAAGGGATTGATTCAGAAATATACACATCTAAAATGTTCGGCAGATCTGTATTATTGCTCAACTACAAAACAAAATAGAAAAACATTAAAATTGACATTTGCAAAGAAAAAAAAATTTTAATCAGTGCACCTTCACATTCTTAAAGAGGCATTACAGACTTTTCTAATTATACTGCCACCTGAAACTGAAAATAAACCAATTCTTTTATTTGACAACAGAAAACATATTACTTTCAGTTAACCTTCAGTCATGTACAGAATCAAAACAGTTATTTTAAAAATAAAAATCAATAAAATTACAAGGGAAAAAATAACTATAAATTAAACTTCCCAAACATGACTAAAACTTAAACTTGTACGACTTAGAGCAGGCCAATCAAACAAAAAAAGGGCTTTAACTCCTTTACTGATGAAGATGTGGAGACATTCTTAGACATCTTCATGCAGCTCTTGATGCTTTGAAGTGTAGCAGGAAGAAAGCCGCGCCTAGCACACCCAGAGCTGCTCCTGTCACGGCCCATGTCCTCCAGATCTGGTGGGAACCAGGCTGAGGGAGCTGACTGCAATCCCTGGCTGCATCCATCTGGAGAAAGAAAGTAGGGCTGACATGGGAAACACAAACACACTGCGCCTTGATGCAACCACCAAAAATCCTGCACTGGAAAATTATTTCTGACCCCAGCAGGAAGCAGAGGACTTTTTTTCCCCCTTTAATCCCACCTGATTATGACACATGTAGGCCAGTTAGTGTCAGGCTCAACTGGGTGGGAAATTTCTGCGTTTGTACCAGTATGAGAAGAACAGAAGCTCATTTTGGGGATGAGGGCATGTCTGGGCCCACTGCCCCACGACTAACAAAACTGAGTCACCTAAGCTTCCTTTGCCAAATCCCTGAGGAGTCACGGTCAAGTCATGATGGTGAAATCTCAAATCAGAGGGTGAGAACCTCTCATGTGGCAAAGCTCTGTGTTGGGAGATGCTGTTTGGCTGTGAACCAACATTTCTTGAGATTGCTGGAAGTCTGACACAATATCCCCAGAGTATAAATTAAACCATCTAGTCTGCAGAGAGCAAAAGACCAGGGAAAAAAAATCCTGTCTGTCTTTATATATGATGCATCCAGATTTATCCATAATGGATGTTAATTTTACTACAAATTTGTAAATGTGTTTCTAACAGTCCCCATGTGATCAGATCATGTGACTCAGACTTCATTTAACTCAATGTGCTGTTTTACTCAACCTTAAGGTCAGAACGATGCAGGCATAAAAACGATGAACTAGTCCTAACCAGGTTCTAATTTTGTGGTCTTTCCGTCAAAGAATATTGATACCACACATTCAACATTACACCTCCCTGAAAGCTTCACCTGGTGGTTTCCGAAGGGCTTGAGGAGGAAAACTGCAATCAATTGCATTTTGCTCTAGGGCAGTGGTTTTCGATAGGTGAGGCTCAACTCCCCTAGGGGGCGCCAAAGAGTCACAGGGAGAGGCATGAAGAGATACGATTTCTGTAAACATCTGCAGTAGGCTAATTGTTCGTGCTTGCTAGTACTCCATCGTAAATCATTCTTTCTTGCGTGTATGAATAAGCAGGCCTGATGAAACTTTTTCTGATACAACAGAAATCAGCAGGAAGGGAGGACCCTGCTAAAAAAACGTAGGAAATATGATCCTCATTATATAAAATTAGGTTTCACATGGTCCGGTTCTGCCACAATGTGTGGTGTGCAAAGAGCTGTTAGCAAAAGACAGAATGCGACCATGCAAACTGCACCGTCATATGGAAACAAAGCACACAAATTTAGTTAACAACCGGATGGAGTTTTTTGAGAGGAAACTTGAATTGGGTTTACAAAAAGCTGTTTGTTTGGCACCACCAACATCAAGGCAACTGAGGCATCTTATCGAGCTGCTCTCCATATAGTGAAGGCAGGCGAGCCCAATACTGATGGTGAAACATTTCTGCTCCCTGCAGCTAGAGATGTACGTTCAGTGATGCTGGGAGAAGCAGCTGCTGCTAAACTGGACACGAACCCTAACCCTCTCGCAAAACATGTAGAAGACATGAACTGGCTAGCACTGTTGGCCTATCTGTCCGAAATTTGAGAGGATCAACTCCCTCAATATTTCTCTCCAGGGCAAAGAGTGCCACGTCTATGTGATTTTGTGACTTTGGATAGATCCAGCTGTCCCGGGAGTTGAGCCTCGTCTATACGGCACATGACAAATTGTCCGGCTTCAAGAAGAAGCTGGATCTCTAGTGTGCTTATATTGAAAGAGGCTCAGTTGAAACGTTCCCAACCTTGGAGGATGTGCTGGAGAAGACAGCACGGAGGCTAAACACTGTAAAATAAGTCATCAGCGCACATCTGAACAGGCTCCGTGATCAGTTAGTGTATTTTGGAGAGGAACAACTGGGAAATTTCCCAGTGGGTCCCTTCTTTTTCCTACCCACAGTCCGTGATGAATCGAGCATCTAAAGGAAGCAGCTCTCACTGAGCTCTGCTCCTATGTGGACTTAAAACAGAGACTGCTGGAAATGCCAATCCCCTTCACCTCTACTTATGTGAATGTGGGTTTTCTGCTCTCACCCTGATCAAAAGCCGGTCAAGGTTACAAGTGCAGGATAACTTGTGGCTGTTTCTGCTGTACAACCGTGCATCAAACAGCTTTGCGCATCAAAGGAGCGTCTCCATTGTTCACATTGACAATGCTTGAAAACATTGTTGTTAAAATAGCAACAGGTTTAAGTTGTGTATGATTAGCCTAAGAAGTTGACCAGAATATAGAATATGTTGACATCTGTTAAATTCAGGTCGTTTTTATTATTTCAGTTGATGCTTCTGTTGACATGAGTTCAGTTTATTATTGCCATCTGTTTAGTTCAGTTTGTCTGCTGTTAAAAACAATTGTTTCTGAATTTGCTCTGACAGCTCATTTTTAAAAGTAGGCCCTCTGTTCATGATGTTACAGTAAAAGTAGCCTCTAAGATAGAAATATTTGGATGGATATTTTATGAAAAGGCCAATTTCTTGAATGCACTTTGTTAAAAGAATAAAAAACTACAATAAAAAAAACAAAAAAACATGTATTGGGCGATCAGTTCTTGAAACACACCATTCCAGGAACACAAAAGAAAGATGCATTTAATGAAGAGACCTGTGTGGGTTAGGTTTGTGGTTGGGGGGGGGGGGCTTTGTTATCTTTAGAATTTGAAAACACCTGCTCAAGAGTATAGACAAGCGTGTAAACGTAACATCAAGCTAGAAAGACAATTATGCAATAAGAGGCAGAGATGAGTGGCCAAAATGCACAGCATGATGATGTTTGGAGAAAACCAAACAACACTTCAAATAATTGTCCTGTGTGGTGCAGACCAGTCTTTGTGTTGCAAATTAAGGTCCTGGAAATTTTGGAGCTATTAATCTTCCGGTAAATCCATTAATTAAGATTGAATTTTCATTTTTAGACATTTTTATCAAATGTGTCTAAATAATTTGGTAATCAAAATTAAATATTTTTTTTTTTACATGTTCTTAGGTAGAATTTGACTTTAGACTTTTAGAGATGGATACAAACCCAAATAAGACTAGGCAATTTTATTTGTATAGCACAACTCAGTATATGGAAAATTCCAACTTATAAATTAGATAATAGATGAAAAATAGAACCAGAATAAACGCAAAAACAGTTGTAAAACAAATAAAACGATTGGATTACAAAATAGCAGAATAAAAGCAAGTAAAACATTTTTAAAAAGGCTTAAAGGAAAAGTTGGGTCATACTCAGAATTCAAACTTCTGAAAGTACTTTAAATGTGAGATTATTACATACTATTCAATAAATAATTGTTTTTAATTAAGAGTAATTTCATTTGAATGTGTTTCACAAGAGGCATACATGTTTGTCAAAAAAAGGTATACATAATGATCCATTGATCATTCTATGCTGACTGGACTTTTCCTTTAAAGCAGGTAAGGAAGAGTAGGATCCCAACCTTAAACTATTAATACCTTGGTTAGCAGTTCAACTTCAACAGTCAAAGACAGCAACTCGGCTTTCAGTATTATTTCAGTAAATGGCTAAAGAATGTGAAAATGTAGCTGTTCCCTTAGAAGAAAAAAAACTAACTCCATGTTATCGTAGTTTTGCCATAAGTATTGGGTCACACCAGCAAATAATGAATTCTAGTCACTTTTATGGCGACATGTGTAGAAAAAATTTGAGAAACTCAATCCAGCCTGCAGAATCCCGAGCTAAAGCTTACAGAACCTCTTTGGGATGAATCAGCACAGATGCTGCAACACAACATTTATAAAACACTTCAAGAGATCCACATTGTGTTCTAACAGGGATCCACGTTTTTTTTTGTAATAACAGACTATTTGAGAAAATATTTTATGAATGTAAATACACATAGTAAAAACACAGGAAATTCATTTAACAAAAATATCGTCACACTGGCGTCACCATGTTGTTTACCCTGAAATGCATTCTGTGTTGACGTACGCTGGCTGCTGTAGTGCCAGCGTACTGTATTTTATTTTTGATTCCTAGATTCATCCCTTGTGTATTTTAGTTCTTACGGGGTTCGTTTCATACGATAAAATTCAGCAACTAAACAGAGTACAAAACTGTCCACAAAAATAAAGAATTACTACTTCCACGCCTAGTTGAGGTGCAATAAACACTCTGCCTAGAATCGCACTACACTACTAGGTAGATAAAATAGTAAAATGTCTTATATGACACATGTGCCTGAAGCATCGAACACTGGATATATGTAAATTTCTTTAAGGTTTTAAACAAAGATTCAAGCAAAACTTACACCCCATAAAAAAGAAAATTCATAAGATTATATTAGAGTTCATAGGTTTGACATGTATATTCTGGTTAAAAATAACAGATTTTTAATTTTTTTTATTTATTTATTTTTTTTTACAGAAAGTTCAAGGAATTAAAATAATTTTTGGATGACCACTGGCCGCCTCCCTCGAGTGTTTCCAGGCACCTTTCACTGGGGGGCAGCCTTAGAGACCATCCACAACACTCTGTTGGGTTGTGGATGGTCCGCCCCCTAACCCTCAACTTTCAAGTTCACAATCAAGTCACACTCACAGCTGTGGAAGGCATCTGGATTGTACGTGGGGGGCATAAACATGAATGGGACGGTCTCTTCCCTCCAATGGGAAAGAAAAGCAGTCATTCCTATGGCAACAGAGAAGCCGCATGTACGTAGCTGTATTTCTGTGATGCAGGTTAACTTAACGCTTGCTATTTTCTTAAAAATAAATCTAAGCACTCAAATAACATTTCCACGAGGACCTTCCATTCAGAGATTGACGTCTTTTTCATTTTTCCTAATTTGGGACTTTTGTCAGTGTGACAAAGGTAAACCAGCGGAACCTGCATTTGAACGCACGCATTTCCGCGGCTACTAGGTCCCCATTACACCCGCTGCCAAATTCCAGCGAGCCTACACTGATTCAGACTCCCCACTTTAGGGCTGAAAGGTCCACTCATCCTGCCCACAAAGTGGTTTAGGATGGCCCTTAATGTGGCGGACCCTTTGCAGGATCAG